CCGCGTGCATGAGCCCGGCTCCACTTGCTGTCACATTAACCCTTTTCTGTAACAGTTTGTTGGCAGAGACCTGCTCCCACCTCTTAGAGCCTGTGCTGGAAGATGTCCCCTGCCTCCTCCATCCCACCCTGCCGGCCCTTTTCATGCAACTGTCCCAGCACAGGGTCCTCTTTGCTGCCACGCTCCGAGGTTGGCTCCAGCCTCGTGCCACGTGGGCACATCCCCACTGCCATCCCCGAGCTCAGGAGGGGACCACCCATGGTTGTGGGCTTGCCACAAAGCTGCATAACCTTGCGTGAGAAGCACAATTCCCACCAGGGACAGCAGAACCTCACTTTTGTTCACAGGTCAGAGCCACCCAGAGCACTTCTTGCAAGCACCGGTGCACCCTGGACACCTTCCAGGAGCATCATGATCATCTGCCCCCCCCCCGCCCCCAAATTCTTTCTGCTGTCTCAGCTGGAGGACTCCTCCTCTACCTCCTGGCCCCAACACTCTTAAGCAACCCCAGGCTGGCAACATGCTCTGTTCTGCAACTGCCTTCCCCGGCAGGATGGAGGCGTGGGACGGGAACCAGGTCACAGCTGCCGTGACCTACTGCCCTCTCCCCTGGGGGCAGAGGCAGCAGGATGTCAGCTGGCACATGGCCCAGATGGCTTCCCCTGAGATCTGTCTCATGGCCAAGGGGAAGCCACTTTTCCCCTGTCCACATCACCCTAATATTGAGGTAGAGGCCCTGTGATGAATACGAAAGGGACGAGAGATGGGAGGATGATGCCAGGCTGGCAAAGCAAGCCTGGCATGCCCAAGGAGACAGGGGATGCAGAGTACCAGGCACTGATGGAGCCAGGAGCACTTCAGAGTGTCACTGATGCTTCCCCACCACACCAAAGGAGCAAGCAGCCCAAAAGCAGCTCTTGTTTGGAGAAGCATGAGTCAGAAAGCCCGGCTGGCAAAGAGTCTGCCAAGGCCATGTGGGCAAGCAAGCATGGCAACATGGGGTCCTCACCAGGGCGGAAAAGCTTGAGGTCAGGCTGGGGAGCGGCTTCCCAGAAGGTGAAACCTCTCCCAAAGCCATGAATGCAGCTGGAAGCGGAGACATGTTTTGTAAATACCTGGGGATCCTGCACAACCTGAAAAAAACAAGTTGGAAGCAGGAATTTTCCAAAGACGAGGGGATTTGCAAAGAGACCAGTCAGCGCTCAGCTGGATGCTTCATGCTGCCAGCAACGTTGACCTGGGGAGCAGCCCTGGTACTCCCTGAATGATCTGCTCCTGCCAAAGCACGCCGAGAGCAGAGAGGTCCTGCCAGGAGCTGGGGAGAGGCTTGGGTTGTACCCGCCATCCAGCTGAGGTGCGTGGAAACCCCCCACTACGGGGTATCAAGGCTTGGGACTCAGGCTGGTCCAACCAACATGGCATCAGATGCATAGGACAACGGGCACAAATGGTTGCCTGTGGTTTACAGCAGCAAAACATAAGGCAAGCCCAAAAAAATATCCTTGGTCATGGCCTGAAGTAAGTTGGAAACAAGGGAAAGTCCTGGGGGAGAAGAGGGAGAAGATCCCAGCACAAGGAGTTAAGATGGCTCCTTGGGTGGCTGTGGCTTAAGTTGGCCATGCCATGGGATGTACCTCCATTCTGGGCTTTGGTAGACTCAGTTTCCATGCCCTGGGTTTGGTGAAGGATCATGGGGACATTAAAGTGTTGTGTGTAGGAAAGACTTCCTGGAGCTGAGCCTGGCTTAGCTGAATCACAGCCAGCCAAGGATCTGCCCTCCCCAGAGAAGAAAGCCACAATAACAGAAAGTTCCTGCTCCAGCAGCAAAGCCCAACCTGAACCAGTAGAAAGTGCAAGTTCAGTGGTAGGACACAAATATTTGATGCTGGGAGTAATTAATCACTGTCCTCTGTGAGACGCTTTAGGTCAAAAAGAGAGCTAATTCCAAGCAGTGCAATGGCCTTTGTCACCCCTGAACTGTCTCTGGCCCCAGGCACCAACGGGCTCCAGTGTCCCACGCCTTCACCATGAAAGATGGACCCATGTCCATCCCAAGGGCTCTTTGAGGACATGGTGTGCAAAAGAAGGAGCTCCATCTGCTTTAGTTAGCAAGGGACATTTCCAGCATCTCTTCTCCCGTGGGCTTGATGATCCATGGTAGGTACCCAGCCCATAAGTGACATCTGAGGTGGTCCTAGCCCCATGGTCCTCTCTCCTGAGACAACTGCTCCTGGGGAAGGACTGCACCCTGCGGCCTGTGTGAGGAAGAAAGCACTGGCACGAGTCTCCATCAGCACTGAACAGACAGAAGTTAGGCGCTCACCTGGGTGGC